TTTTGTTAATTTCTGCTCTGATCTTTTACATTTTCTTCTTTGTACTAGATTTGGATTTGGATTTTTCTAGTTTTTCTAGGACCTTGATGTTCATCATTAGGTTATTTACTTGGGCTCCTTCTGTTTTTCTGATGTGGGCATTCGCAGCTATAAAGTTCCCTCTTAGCATTGCTTTCATTGTCCCATAAGTTCTGGTATGTTATGCTAGCATTACTGTTTCATACTACAAAATGTCTAATTTCTTTTGTGATTCACTATTTATTCAAGAATACATTGTTTAACTTCCATAATTTCTATGGTTTCTTTTGCCATTAATCTAGTTTCACTGTGCTATGGTCTGATAATATGCATGGGATAATTTCCATTTTTTTGTATTTACTGAAGCATGCTTTATTGGCTAGTATATGGTCTAGTTTGGAGAAAGTTCCATGTGTTCCTGAGAAGAATGTGTATTCTGTTGCTGTTGGGTAGATGTCTATTAAGTTCATTTGTTCAAAGGCTTGATTCAACTCTGATATTTCTCTGTTATTTGTTTAGTGCATCTATTTGGGACAATGGGGTACAAGGTCCCCCACTATAACTGTTTTGATGTTTATCTGATCTTTTATCCAGTAGTATTTGTTTTATAAAGTTGGGTGCATTTCAGTGTTCAGTGCATATATGTTTATCTTTGTTATCTCTTCCTGTTGAATTGTTCCCTTAACCAATATGTAGTGACCTTCTTTGCCTCTTTCGATCAGTTTCAGCTTGCAGTCCACTTTGTCAAAATAGAATAGCTGCTCTGCTTGTTTTCAGGTTCCCATTGCATAGAATACTATTTTTCTTTTTCTTTTTATTATTTTTAAAAAATTTTTAATTTATTATTTTTTTAAATTCTTAGAATACCATTTTTCATTCTTTGATTTTTAATCTGTGAATTTCTTTTTGGGTTAAATGTGTGTCTTGAATGTAGCATACTGTTGGGTTCTGCTTTTTGATCCATTCTAACAATCTATGTCTTTTGATTGGGGAATTGAGATCATTCACATTTAGAGTTATTGCTGAAAGGTATTGACTAATTTTTGTCATTGTATTATTTTCTTGTTGCTAATTTCCTTTTTTCACCTTCTACTTAACTGCTCATTCTTCCTAATTCATTCATTCTATTAGATCTTTTGTCTTTGTTAATGTCATTGTCTGTTTTTAGGATATCCTTGAGAATTTTTTGGAGTGCTGCTTTGGTCATCATGAATTTCCTTAGGTGCTCTTTGTGATGGAAATACTATATTTCTCAAAAAATTTTTGAAAGACCGTTTTGCAGGACGTATCAGTCTTATTTGCCAGTTGTTTCCTTTTAGCATTGTCATTGACAACAGTGATATGTTCACTCCAAGTTCTCCTGACTTTCAGGTTTACGTTGAGAAGTCTGCTGTAGTTCTAATGGGTTTACCTTTAGAAGTGGTTTCTTGCTTTTTCTCTAACAGACTTGGTCCTTGTGTTGGACTTCTGGGATTTTGATTGTGATGTGTTGTGGAAAGGTCCTTTTTGGATCATTGTATTAGGATTTTTATGTCACTCATTTGTCTGTATGTTAAATTCTCTCCCATTTTTGGAAAGATCTTTGTTATTATTTCTGTAAACAGATTTTTCCATGCCATTTGTGCTGGCTTCTGATTTTTTTGCTAATTCCCATCGATCTTAGGTTAGTCTTCTTTGCATGATCTGGCAGCTGTTGGATCCACTTCTTGTGTTCTTTTGTTGTTGACATCAGCCCTGTCCCCCAAATCTGACACTCTGACCTCACATTGGTTGCTTCTGCTGCCCATATTTTCAGCAGAATTTTTAATCTCCTCAATTTCTGTTTGGTACCTTTTCATGGACAATAATTCTTTGCTAACCTGTTCATTCATGTTTTTGTATCATTTTGTTTAGCTCAGCTAGCTTTTTGTTAGTGTCTTCTGTAAACTCACTGACCATTTTGTTCATTAGGTCCATTATCTGTTTAGTTACATATTCTTTGAGCTCAATAAGCATCTCATTGATCTGTTTTTTTCTAATTTCCTCTGTTATCCCTTTGCATAATTCAGCTGTGTGGCCTTTGATTTCCTCCCTTTCAATGCCCCATGGATCAGCTTTGAGGGAGTTGGGAGGTTTTAGAAGCCTTTAGTTGTCTTGTGCTCTCATTTATCTATTGATTTTATTTTGTTTTTTGTGCTGCAGCTTGCAGGTTGATCACAGTGGAAGACTTTGTTGCTACTATGGAGACTTCTTCAGTTAGTGTCGTTTTCAGTGATGCACTCTGGGTGTGGGTAACTGTAGACCTTTGCTTCAGTCCCAAGATCCACCTGTCTGCATTTATTTGGAAAGGGAGACTGCAGTGTGTTTGGTTCTCTGGGAATGGACTGCAATATTGTCAGTGACACTAAGGCAATCCAGATATTGGAATACAGAGAAAACCAACTGATAGCAACAGCTATGCCACCAGTAGAAACAAAAATCAACAACAGTAATAGCCTCACAGACAAAGTGGACATTGCCAGATCCTAACAACCAATAATGTACCAGCCTTAGCCACTGGAAAGAGATCTATAATTATAATACAAACACTAAGATAAACCAAATATTGACATAAGGTAAATATCTACTAAATGCAACAATTCTACCTCTGTAACAATAGAACAGTATTCCACAGTAATAGCATAGACTTAGCTAACTATCTAACGCTTAATGGTGACACTAGTAAAGATAGAGGGGGTGGGAATGGCAGAATGGAAAAAGTAAAATTTGAAAAATTAATCAATGGAAGATGAGGCGGAAAGAAAAAATGAGATAAAGGATCCTATTGAGGAGTAAAAGGAAATTAAGAGTGTTACATAAAAGTAACAGAAAAGAATATCCAATAAAAAGAAAGAAAAACCA